ATGCATGAAGACCCCTAGCAGAATATTGGTAAGTGAATGTTTATGTGTATCAATTTAAAATGAAATTTTTAAGGGAAGCATCATGGTGTGTGTGTTCCTCTCTGACCTATCGCATCAGGTATGTGAGCTGCTGCTCTATTCTGGAGCTAGAGCTGAAGGAGAGACTTGTTGCAGTGGAAGGAGTGACACTTGTCACTTGCATAGGCTGGAGTTCATCTGCCTGTCTGCCTGGTACATCCTTCTAGTCAACTTTTAAGGAGCCAACAAAGTAATAGACTACTTCTTGCTAATTTTCTTCCTTTTTTCTGGCCTTCACCTCCTGTAATTCACCATAAACATCTGTAATTCCATGTTTACCACAGTGCTGCACAATCACATGTCGTTTGCTGAAGGGTTCTCAAAAGTTAAGAAACCTTTGATATGTCTCTCTGCTTTATCTTAAAAGAGAAAATAACTTTTCTCCTTTTCCTCTAATAAAATGTTAAAACTCTGTTCAAGGCGGATGCCCCTTCTTTTATACAGACCAGCCTGTATAAAAAGCTGTATGGCTCTAAATTCCTTGAAGAGATCACATTTCTTTTAATAGCTTTTATAACTCAGTGCCAACACATAGTAGATGCTCAATGTTTATTGAGAGGATAAAAGAATAGGCTATCTCATCTTTTGAACTGAGAAACACCTTTGTAATGATGTCACATCATACTATACTGAATACCCATCCCAGTCCCTCCCCTCCCCCAATTCATATGTTGAAACTCAACACTTATTGTGACTATGTTGGAAGATTGGGTCTCTAAGGAAATAATTAAGGTAGAATGAAATCATAGGGTGAAGCTTTGACCTGACTGAATTGGTCCCCTTTAAAAAAAGAGATACCAGAATGCTTGCTTGAATCTTGCACAAAACATATAAGAGATCATTTGAATAAAAGTGGCTGCCTACAAGTCAAGAGAAGGCCTTGGAATGAAACCAATTCACCAGCACCTTGATCTGGGACTTGGACTTTCCAACCTCTAGACCTATAACAAAATATATTCCTACTGTTAAGTCACCCAGTCTGTGGCTTATAATTGCCCAAGTATATGTATATATAAAAAGATTGCTTTCTGTTTCATATATATTTCATTTGCCAAAAGGATTCTGAAAAAGGACATTTGATATATCTAATAAATGTTTTTTCCCTGTTAAATTTCAAGAAAGCACTTTAACTTTTTCTTTGCTAACATAATGTAGAAAATCATTATAGCAGGAAAGTTTTCTTTTGAAAAGTTTTTCCCCCTTAAAGTTGACAATCTACAATCTAAATTTAAGATAAATTTTATCTTGGTGTAATTAACAACTTCTAATGGCTTCACAAGTGGCCAGTTGTGACGCTCTTCCCCTCTCCCATGTTTCTCACACTGCATGCTCAAAAGGTGGTTGCTGCAGTATCTCTGAACATCATGTGAGGTCTGCTTGCCTTCCTACAGGAAAAGATTTCCCAGAAGATGGCCAGTGGATTCCCATTTGTCTCATTGACCGTAACCATGGCAGTCTCTAAAGCTGCAAGAGAAGCCAAGAAAAAAAGTATTTAGTTTTTCAATTTTTTTTGTCTTATTGGTGGCAAAGAAGAAGAGGAATGCAAATAAATATGCCTGGTCAGCCCAGGATGTGTCTGCTGCCTAAAGGAACTAGAAGCTTGGATTGGCAGAACGAGCTTAACAACCCCACTCAAGGGCTTCACATTTCATACTTTAGCAAAGGACTTTAGCTACTGTGTGAGTAATGCTAATGCTTCTTTGATTACAATTAGCTAGTCTGCAAATACATTAGATATTTAAGGTTAGTACTTGCTCTTATCAGTATCTACTACAAAAGCACTGCCTTTCATTTATTGACCAGACATTGGCTGCACTATTTTTTGTTGTTTTGAATAAAGATAATTCCTGTAAATGCCAAACATAAGAAAGTGGCAAGTGCGGTATGTTCCAACTTGAGACTGCAGTTGAAACTATGATCACGCCTTTATTCGTAACTGTGCTCTGGCCAATAGCCTACCTAGTTGCTAAGCATTCCTAGAATTGCATTCCACATTCACTGGTCTCTCTTTAAGGTATTTTTAAAATTATTATCCATTTATTCACATGTGCGTACATCGTTTTTAAGGTATTTTTTAAAGGAAAGAAAAATTTAGCTTTTGTAATCACTTCCATTACTTATTGGTGGTAGTAACTGTGTTAGATCAAGCATAGACTATGACATTTCTTATCCAACTGCAGTGTAAAATTTCATTCAAGTCTTTATCAGAATAAAACCACACATGTTCTAATGGAATAGCTTAAATTGGGAAAACTGAGGTTGAGATAATAAGATAAAGCCATAACTATTACCCAAAAGCATAAGCAATACAATCCAATATAGTAGCTACAGGTAAGTTCACCTGCCTAGCACCAAAAAAAAAAAAAAAAAAAAAAAAAAAAAAAAAAATCAACCATTCAGGAAAAGCACAGGTTTTACTGCTACTGAGACCTAGGATAATTTCTTCCTCTCATTCTTCATAAAGGGTACACTGGATATAGTAGTCTTACAAACACATGTGTGGAAAATGTAACTTTTGAGGACTGTTTTTGCTATTAGAAGTGAACAGCATAAAAAAATTTACACTATATTGAAGGTAATTCTATGAGGAGCCAAAATGTGGAGCAAATATGTAGATCTCTGAAGATCTGGAGGATAAAAATCTTCCCTCCTCTAGTTGGGCACACAATTTCATTTAATTTTTTTCACGAGCAACATTTACTGACACACCCAAATATCAGGTTTAATAGAATATCACTTTAAAAGACCTGTCATAAGAAGAGTTTAAAAACTAAAGGAAACTACACTTAATTAATGAAATAAAGGTATGATAGTCTCCCCTCAAGTGGAGAATATACACAAGGACACAGGAATGAAACGATGTCAAATGGGAATCTTGTAATTAAATAGAAAGTAAGTCAAATGCGATATTTAGTAAAGGACCTCAACAGTGAACTTGAACTAGCAGAAGAAAGAATTGGTGAAACAAACTCATTTTAAGCATAATTCAAAACCTCTTCTATTCCTAGAAGTAGTAAAATCCATTTAAAAACCAGACAACTTATTTTTAAACCTAAGGTCACTCTTCCCTTCTAATATTACAAACAGCTGAACTAGACTACAAAGATGATTTATCTGAGGAACATAGTTCCCTAGATGAGTGTGCTTTAAGTAGAAAATCTCAGTATAGAGGACAGATAAAATCCACTTTAAAGTACTAAGTTTTATGATTATAGTATCTATGTGAATTTAATTCTTAAAACTTCAAGTACAAGATTATGTACAAAAGTGTTTTCTGTTTCAGTTATGTTCAATTTTTTTTCATTAATATTGGTTCTATTTGAAGTGTACCACACTTATTCACGAAGTTTTAAGAGACGCTCAGGAATATAAAGTATAAACTTAAAAAGCAAATCACAGACTCATTCCACATCTGTGAGATGCAATTCTTATGTATAATTCAATTTACTATGACGGGATGTGAAGAACACAGAAATTAGAAGAAATGGTATTCAATATCTGAGCAATACAGCTATTGTAATGAAAAGATAATTTATTAAATGAACATAATACTGGGAGCAAAATGCATCATAAAAGCAAAACAAAAGTAAATTCTAAATATAAATAATAGTGGTTTACTAATTAACAGTTTTTTGTTGCCCAACCAGAACTTTAAATACAATCTTCTGAAAAGTCAGATTTTAAAAGTGTGTGTTCCCTTTAAAAGACATGCAGCACTATAATATCTGGAATTTGGCAAAGATCATTTTGTTTTATTAGACTCAAAATGGTATTGAGTGATTGTTCTTCTTCAGCTTTTTGGAAAGTCTAGAATAATTTAAAATGAACAAGCAGACCAGCTTATTATGCTCACCTGTGAATGAGGATAACAAGTACATTTCTAATATGCTTTTGGAAATGTTCTGATTATTGAGGGCACACTTGTACATTTTGACAAAGATTTAAAATTTTGGATACTTTGGTAAAAAGTTGTCTCCTTGTAAGATCTAAGGTCAACAACAGCCACTGGATGTGCTGATTCATGTCAGTATAATTTTAAATAACCACAATTTAACGTGTATATTAAGATACTATAAACTTTTAGATAGCAAAGAAGAAAATGGATTGTTATCCTGTTTTCCCAGTAAGATTCTTTTAGATTTTACAATGCTTATAGTGTTCACCATACCAACTGGGATTTCAAAATGATATGATTATAATGCATATTAAAAGCAATATGCAAAATAGCAGAAACAGAGAATAAATTAGTAACTTCATACTCTGAAAATGAAACAAGGCACTTCCAATAACTATACACAAAGCTGAAATAAACATAAATAATTTTTCATAAAGCTGGCACTAAGACCCTAGAAGACTTTTGTAAAAAGTGAAAATAATAAAGGCACTACATAATTTTTTTCAGCTATCTCTATTGACTCAAGAAATTCACCAATTGTACTTGGCACAAAGATTTTAATTATCATAAAGTGCATCACTTGGCTAAATACATTAAAAAGAAAATTAGCCATAATAATACAGTATAACAAACATTTTCACATTCACAGAAATAAAAATGCAATGCCAGGAGTCAAGCTAGTTAGGACCTTTGCAGTATATATGGCTTCTCATTTTGTTTTCTTTTTTGTGTAACTCCTTATTTGTGTAGAATCTATATTATATGTTCCAAAGAATATGCCTTGATTAGCAAAAAGAGGTAGTGTACTGAAAGAGGCAAATTCACTGAATCTACAGGTGGAGATTCAAGATGGAGATTATGTGGAAAATAACCAAGTATAACATACCAATAAACCAGGATGCTTATAGTATCTCAATATTAATGAGTTGGCTTTTAAAATCAAGGCTATTTTGTCACTTTAGATATATGATTATAGCTCTTTAAAATAGTTTTTCTTTGGTACTAGAAAGTCATCTTTTAAATAATATTAACATTGCAAATAAGCAATTTTTATTTAGAGACGATAAACATGTCAGCATTTAAAACTCAGGATCTTTATCTTTACTATAATGTTCATTGACTTAAACCACTAATGAAAATGTCATGTCAGAGATACAAAAAATATCTATACTCAGATAGAAACATGCAATTAATTTTCATTTGACTAAAATGATGTTTTAAAATGCACACACACATACGAGTTTGGAGCAATATACAGGGCAAAACATGGTAATAATTTATGCATAGTACTTAACAATGTGGGACTCGATAACAGAATTCTAACTAGAGTTTTCTTCACTGTATTAAATACAAGGCTAGATGGAAGACAATTAAAAGCAGCAATGAATATATTTCCTATATCAATAATTTAGAAAATTTTTCTTTATGTAAACTTTATACATGTGCATTCTTGCTTATTTCTGGAAGTGTTTTCACAGTCCTTTTTCTTTTTAAAGAGTATGTGCCACTCTATTCCAAATTTGCTGAAACATCACGATGGAGGAAACTGCTTGTGTTAGTCTTCTTCACCATTATATGCCAATTCTGCTACTTCTATCTCTGGTGTAGCACTTTCAGGTTCACTAGGATTTAAGTGTGCTTTACTATTAGCTCTGTAAAAATAGAGAAACACATGCCAATGAGGAGACTGGAGTCATGTTACTTCACTTTATTATCAGCCTTAAAAATCTTTTACCTTATTAAAAGATTACCTAAATAATTAATGTAAAAGTAATCAAATAGTCAATCAATAATTTAGTATTTTTAGGTAGCAGCTGTCAGGAAACACCTTTGGAGATGTTATCTTTTGAGACAGACAGAAGTTTTGCTATGTTGCCCAGGCTGGCTTTAAACTTGGGATCCTCCTGCCTCAGCCTCCCAAGAGGCTGGATGCCTGAACTTTCTTTCTTTCTCCTCTCCCCTTCCCTTCCTTCTCTCCCTTCCCCTCCTCTTCCCTCTCTGTTTTTGTTTCTTTTCTATCAGCTTTCCAAACTACTATTTACAAATAAAATCAATCTACCTACCTACCTATCTACCTACCTACCTATCTTTTCTATCAGCTTTCCAAACTACCATTTACAAATAAAAATCTAGTTTGTAGTTACATTTAACAACATAAATATTTTTCTCATAATCATAGCTCAACCATTACTACTAAAGCATCAACAATTACCTTGATTTATATGCAATAAAAATTCGATGTACTTTTCAACACATTATCTTTTCATCATTCCTATTAGGCAGGCAGGGTGGTTTGCTATCATAATATTCTACTTTTGAACATAAAAAGGATGATATTTAAGGAGATTAAAGTAATTTATCAAGATTTAAAAAATTAACAAATATATATGACAGAATCAATTAATATATATATATATATATATATATATATATATATATATATACATATGATTCATATACAGCTTCAAAGTAATGAGAAAATTTATAGGCTGATGCCAAAGACATATTTTTAGGGAGATCCTAAAACACAATCTTTCTCTGTTTAGCAGATTCCTGATACAGTAACAGAGGTCATAACTCTTTGCAGAGTACCAGAAAACTTCTCCCCAATTATTCAAATTATTAGGGTATAATAAACTAAGTATTACACACCTAGATTCTTCATCCAAGACACCGTGATCAACCTCAAGTGTAGAGGATTCCACCCTTAGGAGCTGTCCACCATCTGTTCCTGACACATATAATGATTCTTTCGGTTCTAAAGACAATGTTCTAAAAGCATATTACAGCAAAATGTTATTTTCCATGAATGAAATAGGTATATGTTTACTGCTGTGAATACATGCAGCATTGGTAGTCTTTAGCTGTTAAACCTAATACAATCACATGGCTAATACATTGCTCATGGTGGGAGCCAACAGAGAAATCAGAGCTAGACTTAAGATGATTTTCAGCAGCAATTTGATATATGTTGGTAAGAAGGTAAATTGGAACTTTTACATGTGAAAAGTTAGTTTTACATGCTTAGGGAAAAAAAACCCATATAAATTTGTTTAAATGAACAATAGTTTATCTTGTGGAATATCTACAGGTTTATTTTCCTGGTGCCCATCCTTCAAATGTTCAGCTTCCTAAATTAAATTGAGACAATATCCCAATTTACAAGGAAGTAGACAAAGAGTCTGACTTTCAGAATCAGAAGTTTCATAAATACTATTAAAATCTAAAGGGCATTTAACCCAGAGTATTGGAAGTTGAATTAGTCAGACTACAAGTGCAAGTACAATACACCTGATTCTGTTCTCTAACGTGTCTATGAGAAGCTGCTTTTCATTGAGGAGTTTCTTCAATGATTCCACCTCTTTTTGTTTTTCAAGTAGTTCTTTCTGCAAATGGTAATTAGTCTCTTCCAAAGTTTCACAGAAAGCCTTAAAAAAGAAACAGGTGAAAAAAAAAGAATAAAATTACTTACTGAAGCAGTATATTGCTCATGAGCATTATGCACAGTCAAGGAACACAGAAAATCAAAATATCATGTATTCAACCCAAATGATCTATCCTCTCTATACTCATTTTTATACCATTCCTATATTGACTCTTCGTCCTATGTACCCTAAGTTCTTTTTCTTGAAATTATTACAGTAGTAAGCCAGTGAGACTGAAAGTAGATACATAATTATAGATGTATTAACAGATTTTAAAAAACCATGTAAAAATATAGAACAGGCTAAAATGACTGTATTCAAAAACCTAAACATGACTATATTTAAAATCCTGTAGAAGGCAGGTGCTGGTAGCTGACACCTGTAATCCTAGCTACTCAGGAGGCAGAAATTAGGAGGATTGCAGTTTGAAGCCAGCATGAGCAAATAGTTCCATGAGACTCTATCTCGAAAAAACCCATCACAAAAAAAAAGCGGGGGGGGGGGGTGCTGGTGGAGTGGCTCAAGGTATAGGTCCTGAGTTCAAACTCCTGTACTGTAAAAAAAAAAACAAAACCCTACACAAAATGTTTCTAGAAACATACAAATTATCAAAATTGATTTTCTCCAAAATGGAAGTCTGAATAAACTAGTCATTAAAAAGATGGAATCCGTTGTTAAAAATCTGACAAACAACAAACTAAAGAAAATATCAGACCCAAGTTGTCTTACAAGTGAGTGCTAAGGAACACTTAACATACAAACAGTTCTGGAAGAGAGAAAAGTTCACCTCTTGAGCCATGCCTCCAGCCCGAAAACTGGTATAATCTAACATCAGTAACAGAAAAGAAAAATTAGTCTCAAAAATTCTAATACAAACTCAGCAATTAAAAAGCATGCGGAATTTATGACTTACTCCAAAAAATGAATTTATCATTTGAAAATCTATGAATGTAATTTACCCCACTAAGATTACTAAACAATTCACAACTATGAACAGTTTAGAAAACACCATATCTAATGGTGACATATAGGACTAATTTCCTTTAATGTTAGGAAGAGAGGAAAGTTACCCTCCATAATGGCTTCATAATTTATATCAAAGATCATAGTTAACATGATAGTATAGGAGAAGGAAATGAAAGATATTATGGATCAGAGAGGAGAAAACATAAATAAATACTGTAAGGGATATGATTAATTATACAGAAAACCCAAAAAGATCTATAAAGAGAGACTTCAGCAAGAATGTGTAACATAAAATAAATATGCAAAAATAAATAATTCAATAGTAGTAACTTTTAAAAGTGCCAAATAGGATATCAACAAGATGACAGGAATAAATCCTATGGCCTTTCTTAGAAGTTTAAGAAAAAAAAATTAAGCCCTTATTGAAGGACTTAAAAAAAAGACCTATGTAAGCAAAGATCTATTGATAAGAGTCAATATTATAAAGACAGTATGTTTTAAGATTAATCAGTTAACATACTATAATTTCAAACAAAATGCCAATAGGATTTTTCAAGGAACTCATGAACTGACTTAAAATTCATAGAAAAAATAAAATACCTATATAGAAAAAGCTAAGTCAATTAAAAGACTTGAGTCTGAGTGTGAAAAGTAAAAGTTTACCCTACTAGAAAATACTTTAAGAGATTATCTTCATGTTCTGGAGTGTGAGAAACAAAAACACAGAAAACAGAAGTCCTAAGCAGCTTCTAAACATACAAAAGATGTCTTAGTCAGCTGGTAATCAAGATCAGCTATGTGTTGATGATACACAGTAAGAGAAAAATATAGTTGGTAAAAGTGTAAACTGCTACAACAAATTTGGGGAGTAATTCCACAAATGTACTGAAGTTGAAGAGGAAGACATAACAACCAAACAATTCCACTCCTAGGAATATACCTCATATATATGTCTTTTGGTTTCTTCCAAGATTAAAAATCATCTCCGTGCCAAGTATTATCTTAGGAAATATGTACATAGGAGTAGGAGACTGTTTTTAGAATACTCATTAGAAAAATGCTGATCTATTTAGCACTATAAATAGTTCATATTCCTAGAAAAAAATAAAAATAAAAACTGTATTATGCAATTAATTATGTCAATTAAAGAATCTGTGATGTATATAACTTTCTTCTGTGAAAGAGATCAAACTGCTCCATCAGTATTAAAAAATCTACTAGCAAATCCTAACAAGTAAGTTTCCTTACTTATTACAACTCAGATTGTGAAGCAAGCTTTTTCTTGCTCCCTTGTTACTACTGAACCTAACTGGGCCTAACTGGGTGACAGGAGATTCAGAAAGGACACAGGATAGTCAGACAGACAGAAATTTGGGGCCAGGTGTGCTGGGCCCTCAGATGGAGATGCACAGCAGCCTCATTGCTTCTTTTCTTTATTATTCTCTTCATTTACTCTGCTTCTCTCTATCTTTACTCTTTAAGGCCTTACTCCTTTATAGTTCTTTGAAACATTGCTTCTAAAGTCTTCTTTAAAAAGCTTCACTATTCTTTAAAACATCTTTCCTTAGTCTTGCTCCATCCCATGTTTTCTCTTAGCTGTTCTTTAGCATAATCTCTCTTAAAGTCTTGGTCCTTCCTATTATTGCTTATACTCTCTCTTCAACAAAATTAAGAGATAAGGGCAGAATAGTTTCTGCCTGGTAGCAAGGAGTAAGGGAGGAAGTGGGGGAAAGGGGAGAGAAATGACCCAAACATTGTATACACATATGAATAAAATAAAAATTAAAAAAAAAAAGAAAATTAAAGAACATTAAAAAAAAAAAGTCTTTGCCCCCAGACTTGCACTGTCCCATGTTCCCTTTGGCTTTTCTTTAGCTTAGCTTTTCTAAAGCCTATGTATAAAGTTCACGGTGCAGACTTACACTGACCCATGTTCTCTCTTTAGCTTTAGCAATTCTTTTCCCTTCAGCAATCCTCCCTTCAGCCATTCATTTTCCCCCTTTAGCAATCTTGCTCCAGCAATCTTCACTTCCAAAAGCCTCCCACATCCAAAAAGCCAAAAGTCAAAACCCAAAAGCCTCGCATCCTCCTTCAGCGAGTGGTAAACAGGGTGGAGCAGCAGTTTTGGGGAGGGGCACGACACTGTAACAATAGGAACCTGCGATCTACTTTTCTGAAATAAACAACTTAGGAAAAGCAGGTATTATGCATTTTCCTCTTCTGTGGCTGGGGCTGTGCCAATCTCAGCCTGCAGAAACATCTTAGGAAAAGCAGCTGCTCTGCATCTTACTTTAGCCTTATTCTGTGGTTGGGGCTGTGATGAATTCAGCCTACAGAACATTGTGTACAGCTGTGCTAAAGTCCTTATAGGCTTCTCATAATCCACTTTCCACCAGATTGCATTGTTCACATGCCTTCCTGGATTGTTCAAACTTGGAACAAGAAAATTAAGTTCTTAATCTGTACACTAAGTGAAAATTTGAACTTAAGGGGAGAATAGAAGGTTTAGGGATGTTAGCTTTAATAATTTGTACTCATAACATGCTGCTTAAAATATTTAAATAATTTATTTCTAATTATAAGCTATTTACTAATGCTTGTATGGTAAGACCTTATTTCTTCCAATTATCTCTATACAAGTAATAGATTTGGATTTCTCGAAAAGAAGGTAGACTGAATTTATGTCCTAGCCTTAATCCCCTCTTTTAGTACAGGTACATGAGGGCATAGAAATGACTGCCTTCCAAGGACTTCCTCAATAGAGCCTCAGCAGCTCAGCAACTAAGATAAAGGATGGATAACTGCGACTTCATAAAATTAAAAAGCTTCTGCACGACAAAAGAAATGGTCTCTAATCTAAACTGAAGAGACCACCCACAGAGTGGGAGAAAATATTTGCCAGCTATACATCAGACAAAGGACTGATAACCAGAATATACAGGGAACTTAAGAAACTAAACTCTCCTAAGATCAATGAACGAATTAAGGAATGGGCAACTGAACTAAACAGAACTTTCTCAAAAGAAGAAATTCAAATGGCCAAAAAACACAAGAAAAAATGCTCACCATCTCTGGCCATAAAGGAAATGCAAATCAAAACCACACTAAGATTCCACCTCACCCCTCTTAGAATAGCCATCATCACAAACACCATCAACAACATGTGTTGGCAAGGATGTGGTGAAAAGGAACCCTCATACACTGCTGGTGGGAATGTAAGCTGGTGGAACCACTCTGGAAAAAAAATTGGAGGCTTCTTAAAAATCTAAACATAGATCTGCCATATGATCCAGCAATCCCACTCCTGGGGATATACCCAAAGGAATGTAAGACAGATTACTCCAAAGGCACCTGCACACCCATGTTATTGCAGTGCTATTCACAATGACCAAGTTAATGGAAACAACCAAGATGCCCTACTACTGATGATTGGATCAAGAAAATACGGTATTTATACACAATGGAATTTTATGCAGCCATGAGGAAGAATGAAATTTTATCATTTGCAGGTAAATGGATGGAACTGGAGAATGTCATTTTGAGTGAGGTCAGCCAGTCTCAGAAGACCAAATATTGTATGTTCTCCTTCATTTGTGGGCTTTAGATCTAGGGCAAATGCAGCAATGTGGTTGGACTTGGATCACATGACAAGGGGAGAGCACATATGGGAGGTATGGGGATAAGAAGAAAATCCAAAACACGATAGTATTTGATGTCTCCACTCCAGAGGAATTAATACGGAAACATTAAAGTGACAGAGGTCAACATGAGAAGGGGATCAGGAACGACTGTAAAGGTCAGTTTGAGATGAATCAACTTGGGTTGTAACACATTTGTACATGAAAGCAATGCTAGGAATCGCTCTTATAGCTATCCTTAACTCAACTAGCAAAAATGCTCTGTCTTCCTTATTATGCTTATGTCTTCTCTGCAACAAAATTAGAAATAAGGGCAGAACAGGTTCTTCCTGGAAGCAAAGAGGGTGAGGGGGAGAGGTAAGGAAGGGGGGCAGGGGGAAGAAATATCCCAAACAATGTATGCACATGTGAATAAATGAATAATAAAAAAAAAGAAATGACTGCCTTCAATGGGGGCTGGGAGTAGTAGTTTAGAGACAAGACAAGATGTTCTATTCTTTTTTGAGTTAAGTTTAATTTTATATTCTAAGGGATAAAATAATGGGAGTCAAAGAAGAAGGGTGACAAAAAGGGTTTGGAAAAATATTTGAAAAAATAATGGGTAAGAAATTCCCAAATCTGATGTATAACATCAATCTATCAAGTCCAAGAAGCTCAAAGAATCCAAAGTGTGGTAAACACAAAGAGATTAGTATCTTGATACATGAAATCAAATTGTTAAAAGTCAAGGACTGAGAAGATCTAGAAAGCGAAAAAGGGCAAATGACTCAAAATGTACACGGACATAACAATATAACTAAAGATTAATTTTCATCAGAATCAACAGAGGCGAGAAGGCAGTGGAATGACACACTCAAAGTGCTGGAAGTAAAAAACCCGTCGGATAAATTATCATAATAGCAAATGTTTGTGAGGACATGAAGAAACTGAAACTCTCTTACACTAGGAGTGGGAATGTAATATGTATAGCCACTTTAGAAAAGTATGCCAGATTCTTTAAGAAGTTAAAACAAAAACTTGTTACATGACAAAACAACTCCCCTCCTAGGGATCATCAACTCAAGAGAAATGAAAACATACATTCATACGAAGTATTTTATTAAACTGTTCATACAGCATGATTCACAATAGCACAAAACTGGAAGCAATACAAGTATCTCTAAAGTGGTAACTGGATAAATGAAATATGGTACATGCACACAATTCAGTTAATTTAAAATAATGAAAAATGATAGGTACTATAAAACACACCTAGGGAAAGAAGCCAGATGCAAAAGATTATAGTTACTGTAGACTATATATTACTCATACTATATACATAAAAGATTATGTATGTTATATACTAATTATATACATACAGCCCCTTTGCATACTGTATGATTCTATTACATATCCAGAAAAAGCAAATTTGTAGAGTCTAACAGCAGGTTATTGGTTGCCTTAGGCTGGGAGTACAGAATTAGTGTAAGCTGGCTTATAGCAATTGGTTTTTGAGGTGATGGGAACACTCCAAAACTGTATTATGGTTATGGGGGTACATCTCTATAAATTTATTAAAAATCATTAAATTGCATATTTATAAAGGATGACCTCACGATGATTTTACTCAAATAAGGCTGTTTTATAAAAGCTATGGCATTTATTCTAGCACAAAGAATTGTTGCAGTTTAACTGAAAAACATTACAAACCTACCAATTAAATCAGTTCCATTTTATACCATTAAACATTTTGGGGAAAATCTTGCATAAAATCCTAGCTAATCTATTATTTCCAAATCTGTTTTGTGAATCTAGCCTATTGCTTGAAGAAATAGGCCATCTAATGCGTCAATTAATGTAATTTGAGTAGTATCAAACATGAACTGAATTGGTAGAAAGACAATCAGTTCACCTCTAAAGAAAAGTTTTAAATTTGAATTTAACAGTAGGTTATTTACTTGAATACTTAGGTGGAAGAAAACTCAGCATACAAATAATACTATTAAATGTAGTAAAACTAAATTCCCACATATTTTTATTTATTTTTGAAACAGCAAAAATAAAGGCAGGATTTAGTTTTTGATCTTCATTGATTATTTGACATGCATGAGATTTTTGTTTTTCACTGAACTATGTCTATGCATTTCAATGAAAGAAACCTTTGACTCAGACATTAAAAAGCTTTCTGTGAAAAACTAACATAGCCTGAAATGATATTTTGTTTTTGCTAATTCATTCAAGAAACAATGTAGTAATTGTACTGTATTATTCATTCCTCATTCATGTGATATATAATACAGCACTTACCCTGCTTTCTTCTAGGCTATCAAATGGACCTGGTGGATCATCCAGACAAAGAAATTCTCTCACTGCAAGGCTTTTCAAAGGTTAAAAAAAATTAGCTGGCATACAAATAAGTTTACAACAGATAGCAAAAAGCAAAAGTTACTTGGACATTACATAGAGTTTTAAGCAAGCTGGTTTTGCTGATCCACTAAAATATGCAAGTTGGTATGTGTCTTCATGTAAGTAACCAAATTCAAATGTCAAGCTATAGAAAACACAAATATTTAAAGTCATTTTCTAAGATTTTATGAACACAAATAAAAATGACAAATTTATTATTAGATACAAACTACAGAACATAAAACATAATTCTGAATCATGGTACAGAAGACCATCCTAGGAGTGAGTAGCTTCTTTTTGACTTTCAAAACAATGTCAGCCTTAGGTAGTCTAACAAAGTCATTGTTCTGCTATGAATACATACGAGTTACAATTTATACTCCATCTTGTTTCTCCTTTGGTAGATGCTTTTAAAGTAACTGAAAAGCATTTACTCTGCAACAACTTGATGATGGACTGTGGCATGATTATGCTAACATACTTAAATCTTCTCAGATAGTTTAAGAGAAAGAATTCTGGCCATTCCATTATTGAATTACCAAAAATAATTAAAGTAGAAATATCCCACCTTTTCCAAAAAACAAGTTTTTGACTGAGAGAACTCTATGTGCATGTCATAACGCAAATGTGCAGCCTTAATTTTTTTCATTTGTAAAGGGGCAAGAATATGATTAATTGACATATGACATAAAGGTGATATGAACTATACTAAAAAGAGGATGGGGCTTTTGGGTTCAGATTGGGCCAGATAGGTTTATGATGACAGGGTGATCATGAAGAGATAAATGGGATATTTCGTGAAGTCTTTCCTACAGGAAAATCAATATGAATTAATATAGAGAAGTAGTGTCAAGAAAGCAATATAGCAGGGTATGGTGGCTTAAGCCTGTAATCCCAGCTACTCAGGTAGAGATGGGGAGGATTGTGATTTGAGGCCAGCTTGGGCAAAGGTCAGGACATACCACCTCAGTCAACAAAAAGCAGGGCGTGATGGAGCATGCCTGTCATACCAGCTACATAGGAAGCATAATAGAGGATCATGGTCCAGGCCAGCCTAAGCATCAAAAAGGGCTGGTGGTATGGCTCAAGTGGTATAGCGCCTGCCTAATAAGTGAGAGACCCTGAGTTAAAAAATATCCAGAACACCAAAACAACCCCTGTTGTACCCCCCCACCCCAGAAGATCCCATAAATAGACCAAAGAAATTGGTGGTGATGTGGCACCCAGAAATGTAACTCTTGGACTATAAATCTTAACAACAGAGGTAAAAATGAATACATATTCAGAGGAGTTGGGGAAAGACAGTATTCATAATCAGGAAGAGATCTTAAATGTAAATCAGACATAGTACACTTTTTCTCCTTTTACAGATTCAGTCAAGATTCAGTCAAGAGTATATCTAAACAATGCCAGAGATAGGTGATATTTTTCCTCTTTGGTTTTTTTTATAAGTCATCCTGTGTGTATAAAACTAAAAATTCTTTCCTTCACTAAGCTGGAATTTTTTTTCTCTGTGCCTTCTATTTACAAGTCTTACTTCTTTTTTGGGGGATTCCATTCAGGGTAACCTAAAGTCCTCTTTTACATGGTAACACTAAACATTGTTCAAGAATGTTATTTCCTTGTATCTCCAAGAAGCAATACTAACACCGTAACATTTTCACAGTGCTTTGCACACTTAAGGCTTTCACATGTTCACAAAAATCATGCAAGGTTAGTATAGTCTTAATATATCCATTTTACAAATAACATCAAAGTTCAGAGAGATAGAATTACTTGCCCAGTATTAAATAGTGCAAGTGGTAGAGGTGGACCTTAAATCTGTCTTCTCAGTATAAATATCTGTTCTTTTCCAGCTTTAAATTCTTTTGTCTTATGTCTTAGTTCTTGGATTCTTTCTCCTTTCAGGCCATGAACATGCTCAACTTGTATGTATGGATCTTTAATCCTGGTGTTTAGAATATTGCAACTGGTTTAATAGCAGAGTAGAGCAAGACTACCACATGGTCATCTGGTGTAGGTATTATAATAACACCCACCCACTTTATATATATTGGAGTACCTACTATTAGATAAAAATGAGCCTCAGGAAATAAAATTATTCTTGGGCTTAAGAGGACAAAAGTGTGGATGAAACATACTTTTGCTATCTGATGCTATCTGAAAATAGCATTTCAGAAAGAAAGGAAAACAGTAGGAAGCATATCAATGTTCAATACTTCCAGTGAATGACAACCCAATGTGAAATATTTTCCAGATTTCCTCATAATTGAATAACATTTTTACTTTTAAACTTTTATTTATTTATTTTCTTAAGATAGGGTTTTACAAGTAGTCTATTCTGGCCTGGAACTCTCTATGTAGCCTAGGCTGCCTCAAATTTGAGATCTTTCTGCCTTTGTCTCCTGGTGCTGGATTACAGGCATAGGCCAGTACATGTGAACTCTTTAACAATTTTATGTTCACAAGTTAATCATTGAATTTGCTGTTGCTTGGAAAGGAAAAGTCAGTAAAGGAGTGTATATATATATGTATATATATATATAGATAGATAGATACATACACACACACACACATATATATATATATATATATATACACATATATATGTAGCTATATATCTATGTATCTATAAATAGATATAGACCCTCTTTTATACCTTCAGTTTACTGTAGAAATTTAGCTAAGATCAACAATGATGTTAACATGGCACCCTGTTGGAGGAATTATTTTTTCATTTTAAAGCTTATTTTTATTGATTAATGCTCACATATTCATCAAAAATTTAGCAACAGCTATCTCTATGTAGTGAATATTGAAGAACATTATTTTGTTCTATTTTTCCTGTAATGAATAAACCCTGATAACATGTTCTAAAGAATTTTCAAAAACCAGTAAATCATAACTAAAACTTCATTTTTAAAACAACTATAAAAATGAGTATGTGTTAAAGATTTACCTTATTTATACTGGGGAAACAGATCTAAAAAAAATGTTATTATACTGGGCTACACGGTGACATTTACAAAAGTGCTCACAATATATCATAGTTGAATTCCCTCCTTCCATCATTCTCCTTGTCTTCCCCCTTCATTCCTGGAGCAGTTTCAGCAGGTCTCATTGTTCCATTTTCATACATGAGTACATAGTATTTCCACCATATCTGTCCTCCTATTCCCTTTCCTTACGTCCTATACCCTGCCCCCTCCCACTGATGCCAACCCTTAAGACAGGATCTGTTTTACCTTTCTGTTCTTTGCTTTTGAAAAAGACAGGGAGCTTCATTGTGACATTTCTATGTATTAATATGTGTATTAATATATATTAATATTATATATTAAAATATATGTATTAATATATAATAAAACCTGAATTGGTTCATCTTTTATTTTTTTTGAGTGATTGCTCTATTTCATTCTCCTTCCCTAAAAATTCTTATGACCCATGGCTGCTCACTAGAGTTCTACTTAAATGAAATCTAATGGATTCCCTAAGTTTTTCTACGGTTATATTCCATGCCCTACTTTTAAAAATCTGCAGCATAGGAATGAAATTTTAAACTGTTTACAGATTTATTTCCCAGCTGACTTTTTCAGTGGTTTAACTACTTTAATAGGACTCAGTTGGTGGGGGAAGAAAGTCAGTAGCTTCAAACTGAATTCCTACCCAAGGAGTGGACAAGTAAGAGTCTCTGAGAAATGGCAGTGTTTGAGAAAACAGAAATTCCAATGCTTTTCTTTTTTTTTTCCCTCTAGGAAAGGAGTCTTCACTTCTGCTTGGGAATAATTGTCTGAAAACTTTCTTTAAAGTCAATAAATATTTATTGATTAGTTATGTGAGCCATGGTTTTATGAGATTTTTATTTATTATTAATATCTGCTTTATAAACAAATCAAGGGAGTTTTAATAATACATAAACACCAAAGTCTGTATTATTAACTGCTATATTGATGAAATGGAAGTCATTTCTACATTAACAAAAAGTCTTACTCCTTTTAAAACATTTTTCACTGATAGATTCAATGTAGCCCCCTAATCTCCATTCTGTCCTAATCTCTGTTTCTGTTTGACTATGACATTGGATGGATAACAAAAATATCAGGAGAAATCTAAGAGAAAACTCTTAACAATCTTGACTTCAAAGGCAAGCAAAGATTCTGTAACAACCTGCTCCTTTCATTACCTACAGAACCTTCTTTATTAAGTATGTGGGAAAACTCGATTTAAACTGCCTGAAGATAAGAAGATCACAGATGGTCCATTGTTTTATTTCTCGTGCAAATCTATATCATCACTTGAACCCTCTCTGATCATCTTGAAAGTGCTCTTTAAGAGAATCTTACTATATTTTTAGCTATGTTCCTAAAAATTATTCCATCGGTGAACTTCCACTTTATATTTACTGCTGTTTTTTCTTCCTTTTTGTTCTTTCATACATAAATATCTGCTTATACTTCACCAGTTTTTTTGAAAGATCAATAATTTAATAGCTAATTGTGCCTTTTCTCAGTTTGTATTTTAAAAGAAAAGGAAAAAAAGAATCCTGAAACTAGGCTACAATTCTTAAGTCCCACTAAGAACTAAATAAAATGCTGGATGCAGCAGCACATGCCTGTAATCACAGTTATTTGGGAGTCTGAGGCAGGCGGATAACAAATTCAAGTCCAGCCTGGGCAACATAGCAGGATCTCACTTCAAACAGAAGAGAAAAAAAAAAATGACAACAAAAAAAAAGTATTAAATACAACTTGTGGAGGAGGACTCAGGAACAAAGGCTGGTGGCAGAGATGGTGACAGTGTATGAGAAGGGTAGGTGGATATGAGGCTGGAGGGCCCACATTAAGCCTGGCAGTAGGGGCCCAGTTTAGATCCTATTATCTCTCACCTAGATACTTTCAGCCCACTGGTATCTCTAGCAATCGGTTTTTTATCCTTTCTAATCTAGAATATTTCAAAATACCACGTAGGACTCATCTTGTAAGAGGAACAGGACTATGCTCTTGGAGTTGGCATAAAGTACCTGCTGTATTCAAGTCTAGCTTTCTCTCTTATTTGGCTCTCCAGCAACAGTACATCGTCATGCCTGTAGTGAAGTTCCGTGCTTACACATGCCTTTACTTATGCTGGCTGCTATTACCCTAGCTTATCCCCTTCCTGCTTCTGTGTGGCAACCCTTAGTTATTCTTCATGACTCAGCTTATCTTTATCTATTTGTGAAAGCCTTTTCTCTACCCTCTACTAGATATGCTGTTATTCTATGAATAGTGCCTTGAAAGTCCTTTTCATAGGGCTTATTATGTTTTAATTTGAATTTTAAAGAATTTAAAAGGAGAAAAATACTGATAAATAGTATATGAAATACTTCTGAAAATAGAGAATACTGCTGTGCTGATTAATGATGATCTCAAAGTAGCACAAGACAGCATAAAACAAATAGCTAAAATTTAACTATGACAGATTGTGGAATATAAAACTATCTTTACATATTTTTACTTTGACAAACTGAGATACACGCTAGAGTAGGTTGCACACCTTCCTGATTTTGCATTTTGGTTATAATATTCCTTTTCATCTAGAAAAATCCTTCTTCACCTTCTCTTTGATAGTCTAAGTATCATTAATTCTTTGGTTCAGATCAAATGTCATCTTCTGGGAAGCCTTCTCTAGTTCTCAGTTAAAAGTTTTGTCTTTTCCTCCTCCAAAGGAAATTTAACTCTATCAACTATCATTTTTTTTGGGGGGGCAGGGGAATAGGCCTTCTTTCCATTTAGATTTTTAAAAACAAGATAGGCACCTAATTCATCTTTGTGTAGCCACAATTTTTATACAGTAAGCTCTAAATAAGTATTTGTTGAATAGATAAAAATCTCTAGCAATCCTTTTATCATGAAAAGTTTTTAAAAATGTTTTGTTATTTTATTTTTTTAAATGCACCCAAAAGCAATGTTCTCAATTCATTCAGACAATGAATTCTTAATATCCCTTCAGTTCTTATTTTCTTCCACCACTGCCTTGTTACATTAAGAGCTACCAGTTTTGTAATGGCAAACTTAACTTGAAGTTAAGAAATACTAAATTAATTACAACTTAATTAATTACAACTGTGTTGTAAATTACAAAGGATATTAAGAAAGACAGTAAAAGAACAATTAACATTAACATGCAATTAATATCAAATGATTATTTAGTCATATAGAGATAGTAAATTTAATGAGTTTTGTTATTGTTGTTGTGTGTTTTTTTGAGACAGAGTCTCACTATGTAACCCAGTCAGGCCTCCAAATGTCAAACTCTTGCCTCCACGTGAAGATTATAGGAATTACAGGCAGTAATGTCCAACTTTTAAGGACCGAGTTCTATTTTCAGTAATTAAAACAGAAGAAAATATGTAAGAGGTGCTCAAATTTCTTTTGCTGGAAAATCACTGACTCTTAGCTTGGCATCCCTGCTTCTATTTTGTATCTGTCTTTGCTCTAAGCCATTCTCTTTGCAGTCACTTTGCAATCATCTTGGATTCCAGAAAGGAAAGAACTGATAACATCTTTATGACAAGGGGTTAAAATTTCCCATAAGGAACAGCGGAGATGTGTAGGACAGATAACCCCTCCAAATGAGGACAATTACCTATAAGGATAAGGCTGTACCCTGGAGTAGGAGCAATCATTATCATCTCATGGGAACCAGATCACTCCCTTCAAGTGATGACAGGAATGACCCCTCTGGGAACCCTTGAACTGAGATAATGTTTGACCAGAAGGAACACACCTGTGATTGAGATTGTTTAACTATGCATACCTCTGTCCTTTGCCCCCAGTTCTTTTGTCCACTTAAACCTATAGCTCATGTCTATACCAAGAAGATGGCTGAAGATGAGCTGAGTGCTTACTCTACTTCTTCCCATGGCATGTCCTAAGCCCTATAATAAATCTTCTTTCTCTGCCTTCACCATGCCTCTTTATTTGGCATTTAGGGGCAGGTGGCTGGACCTGGCATATGAAATCTCAGGAGTTTGGGCCTTGGGTCTAAAACTGATTTCAAAGATGCACCTGAATATTTCAGCTAAGATACATTTTTTGCTACCTAAAAAATCAAGAGATTAGAGAATGAGCCACAGTGGCTCATATTATTTAATATTTGATTAGATAAAATAGTATAGGGTCATTTAGAGAATAAATAGGATTGTAACTCATCACAACATTTTCAATACAAAGACATAAAGGTTTACTGATTAAGGGACAAAAGAAAGGGGAAAGGATATGTTGATTCCTTATTTGTAAAAGCCTTTTATGGTACAGCATAAAATAAATCTTCTTCAAAGGTTTTCTCTATGATTTTAATATTTCTTGGTTTTATTTCTGCTTTACATGAATTAATAATAATCTTTTTTCTTTTTTGACCTATGTAAATATATATAGAAAAGTAGAGCACCTAAGTTCCCATCACCTTGGCCACATAATCACTGTTTGTCTTATTTGCTTTAATCTTTTTTTAAACAAACAGTACAATAGTAAATTTCAACAGTTCTGTTATTTATTCAAGAAGTACTTGAATCGACTATGTTAGCACTGTGCTAGGCAATGGACACTGAATGATAAAAAAAAAATAGCCACATGACCTGTTATGTGTCTTACAGTGGAGAAACACAACCAAAATAATCAGAGAAATAATTATAAACTATATTTCTATGAAAGTCAAGTACCAACCAGCCTTTCTCAGTTGGGATTCCATGAGAGAATTAAACTGTGGGGATGATGATTTATAAGATTATTTTCTTAGTTCTCAAGACTAGTATATAGCTACTACCATCCTAGAAGTATAGGAGAGAAGTTAATTCATTACCTACAATAGGTGTCTTAAGGAATCAGGAGATAGCTCTCTAACCCATTGATAAAGTCTGGTATTAACACAACGAAACAAGAAACCTAGTCTTTGGTGGTGGTGGGTAAGGAAGGGCTCAGTTAGGAGGGTCAGTTACCTAAAGAAATAAAGTTTGTATTAGAAACTGAAGCATGTTTAGGAGTTTATGTTAGCTAGTTGCTGGGTGGGGGTGGTAGTAGCAGTAGTAATGTAAAATGCTGCCTTTCTGGGAAACAGCATATTTGAAGGACAAAGGAGCTAGGTAACCTTGGAGAATAAAAAGACTAATATGGCCTATATACAGAGAATGGGGTAGGGAGGAATAACAAAATCCAAGGTTAGAAAGATAAGCAAGTAGGAAGGGACCAGAAAGACTTTATCAGACTGCATCATAAAAGATAAATGTGGCTCCAGTCAGCTATTGAAATAAGAGTGGATATAAAGACCAGTGGGAAGACTTTTACAATAATTAAGGAGTAACGGCAGGGATGGAGAAAAGTAGACAAGTCTGAGTGGAAGAAATAAAAATAGTGAGGGATATGTGAAAGATGACTTGCAGGTTCTGGATAGACAGTGATGCTGAAAATTAGGGGAAGCCTATTTAGAGAATATGCTTTTGTTTTAGGTTTGAGATATCTGAAGGAAATGTCAAGGAGCCAGACTGATCTCATTATCCATACCCCTGAAGGAATTAAAGGTCCTGAGCTATTGAGGAGAAGTCTATCTAGTGGGCAGCTAAGTAGACTTGAGTAGAAACAAGGCTCGGCTCCAGAATATAAGATTCCATTTTAAAACCCAAGACTGACACCCTGGACCAATAACTGGCAGTTTGTAGAGCAAACTCCCTCCCCATATCAAGACTGGGCATGCACCTTGAGTGCCTCAGACTGCTATATGACCTTTTACTTGAAGTTGCTAAACTGGAAGAGGCCAAGAGGATCAAACACACAGGTGCTTGTCCCCATCCACTCAAAAGTGCAGGCGTATGACTTCTCATAGCTTTGATGCAGTTGGCCTTTATCCAACTGCCCACCTCTTATCTGTTAGTGAACTTTCACTTTGTTAATAAATCATTCCTTATTATCTTCCTATTCTTTTGCTGCATCTGAAGTAGTGTCCAAATCTTAGTTGTTGCATCCGAAGGACTGAGGAACAGCTGGAATACCACAACCACTGGCAACAGCCATTGCATATATGTATGAGTAGAGAGAAGGGCTTGTAGCTCCTCATTAAGAGGAAAATGAGGGGGAGGGGAAGGCAGGGATCTTGAGAAGTCCGAAGCTTAGGTAGCACATGTGCATGTATGGTATGTGTGTTGTATGAATTACACAGGGTGGTATATATAAAGACAGACTGAGAAAAAGAGGTAGAAAAAGTGAGACAGAGTATTTTTTAATTGTTTCCAATCTTTAGGAAAAAACTGTCAAACATTTATAGGCATATACCATGTGCTACTGCTGTACTGTAAATGCTCTCTACATTTTTTATCTGATAAAGTGAATTCCCAAGTGAGATACTCAATTAGTATCGACTCATTAAGCAATTCTGTTATATTGAGAAGCAAAAAACCTATGTAGATCTTTTTCCTACATTTTAATGGTTTTAGGCATTTTCACTTCACATTCAATATATATTAACCTGGTTTCACAATTTTAATATTTTTTACATTACTTTTGAGTGATATAAAAATACTAATCTGAAAATTATAGTGTCATATTCCCCAAAACTGCCTAATATGTGAGCCATTTTATTTAAACAACTGCTAAAATGCTAAGTACTAAAATCAAATTTACATTTGGGTAGTTTGAATACATCATACACTGAGTTTTTCACTATACTGACTTTTTAAAAGCTTTAATAAAAATAAAATGCCAAATAAAATCCTTAATTGAAAGAAAGAAAATCCCACGTCACCACTTTATTACCAAAGATGAGTAACTATATCTCTATTTTATATTACATGCTCAAATAACATGGGCTTAGATTTATTCTTTAGTTTAAGCCAGTCGTTGGAATGCTTTTATGATCTCTTTTATCAATTTGTTACATACCAGTTAGCAATGTCCTTGTGAGCTACTAAATTCTGAAGAAATGCTTGTAATCCTAATTGTCTATCTTCTAAAAAGTCGGCATTGTAATTATCTTTAAACCAGCGTTTTGGTGGAAGTGCTAATCGAAAGCCTGGAAACATTTCTTTTAACTGAAAAAGAAAAGAGAAAATACAATGTTCAATTCAGTATCATCAATTCTGTAAAATTTCTGTTGACTGTGAAATCATTCATGAAATAAGTTTAAAATAAATAAGCTCAGCTAAGTTTTTATGCCTTATTTCTTGATTTCTATTAGTCCTGTACACAGTTCTAGTTGCTCCACATCTGTGCCAAAACTTGGCACTGTCTATCTTCTTGTTAATGACTTCAGTGTGTAATAGTTATCTGTGGCTGTAATGTGCATTTCTCTGTTGATAAACAATGTTGGGTATCTTCTCATGTGCCTATCTGCATCTCTTCTCTCATGAATTACCTATTTTGAGCCCTCCACTTAAAAAAATAGGGTTGTCTTTTTATTAAGTTATAAGAATTCTTTATCTAGTCCAAACACAGGTCTTTTGTCAGATACATGTATTACAAATATTTTCCTCCAGATTGTAGTCTGACCTCAACAGTCCTATCAGAGCAGATAAAATTTTAATGCTAATTCATCCACTTTTCTTTTGCTGGTTTATGTACTTTTAAATAAGAAAAAAAAAAAATTTTGGTGTTTAAAATAGAGTCTACGTAGCCCAGGCTGGCTTTGAACTCATAATCCTTCTGTCTCTACCTCCTGAAGTCTAGGATTACAGGTGCATATCACTCCATGCCTTGCTTCATCTGAAACTTTTGCTCACTCCAAGACTGCAAAAATTTTCTACTATGCTTTTTCCTATAAGTTCATAGTTTTAACTTTTATATTTTGATTTATGATCCATTGTGTACATTTGGCTTAAATTTTACTTTCTTGGAGTAGACTTGCCCAATCTTCAAAACTAGGTTAAATCTCCATTTATACCTTTTGTTCAACTTACTGTAACTATGCAACAAATTATCTCAAACTTTGTGTTAAGAAACTACTTATTAAACTCATGGATTCTGTGGCCCAGTAATTCATACCAAGTATAGCAATTCATTCTATAATGAATTGGTCTACAGCTGGAAGATCTCAAGGCTGGGAGTTGAGTACCCCAAAGTTCACTTACACAAGTACAAGTGGATAATCCTGGCTGTTGACCAAAACCTTAGCCAGGTCTATCAGCCACAAGTCTAACAGTGGCCTCTCCCCTGGACGTTTTCATAGCATGGAGGTTGTGGTTCAAAAGGGAGCATCCCAAGAAAGCAAGCCAGGATGGAACTATACACTTTTTATAATCTAGTCCTGAAAGTCACATAGCATCATTTTCACTGTCCTCTATTGGTTCAAGTAATCAGAAGTTCATCCCAGTTGAAGGAGAGGAGTAACAGAGTCTACCTCTTGATGGGCAGTGGCAGATTCTGGAAGAATGAATATATGGGATTGAAGACATGATGTTGCTATTTTTAGGAAAGATGTTCTGCTACACACTGTCAATTCATTAATATTATCTTACAGTGCTATTTACCACAAAGTTGAATAACACTTAATTTTGGATTCTTGCACTAGAACAGTGATTCTAAATCTTGGCTGTGCATTGGAATCATTCAAGAAGTTTTAGAGATATTAATGACTGTGACCTACACCCAAAATATTAGGATTTAATTAGTTTAAGTGCTATCAGGCCACTGCAATTATAAACGGCTTTCCAGGGTAGGAGAAAACGCGGTTAATATTGAGAACCATTTCACTACACTGCAATTATTATGCCTTATTCATAGGTGCATCCCCAATGTTTAGAATAGTGCCTGTCATGTAAAAGTGGTCAACAATATATGTTCAATAAATAGGTAAATGAAATGAATCTACATGTACTCACATTTCTATATTTAAATATAAAATTAAATATCTGCTATGCAAAAAGACTAACAAAAGAGAAAAATGTACAGGGTAAAATGTTAATTAAAAATGTAAAATTCAACATCCTTTCTATTAATACCTGAAGGAAAAATATGACAAAAACCCCCAAACTAACTTGAATAACTGAAAACTGATTTGATTTCAAGATATAAACAGATATTTTGGCCTTGGAGCTGTAATTTAACATGTCTGCAATGAAAACGAAGTAATAAAAGTAATGAGGAGGAAATATAAAGTCTTTTTATTACCCAAACAATGTATGCACATGTGAACAAATGAATAAAAAAATTTTACAATTTAAATGTCATGTATGTCCAAATACATGGTTAATTTTTTTCCCCTTAAAAATTACACAAGATAAAAGGGAATTGTTACAAAACTAATTCAAGAAAGAGGAAGACCTGGGACAGAGAAAGCAAAATCCATCAAAGGAAAGAAGTTAAAATTCCCCCGGAAAGACAGTGGTAGGCAATCTCAGGATGCCACTTACGTACCATACACTAGAGCTAACTGCTCAGGACAGAGCAGTGTGACTCAGGCAGGTCGAGGACTGACACAGGATTTTCTGATGGGAAAACTAAATGTGAGGATTCTAGGTGTCTAGCCCTGATACTTCTATGAACTTGGCTTCTTCCCAAGTGGACAATACTGAGTTCTCAAGAAAAATTTACAGAAAATCCCACTCCTCATGGCCATACTTCTGCAACCACCGCATCACTCAGCCCACCCTACCATCCTTGCTCTGCAGGCTGCAACTCAGGTAAGCCCTTCACATCCCAGCACTCACTCAGACTACTTTCTGCAGAGGAGCCTATAAGACTCCCAGACAAGCTGAAGTCAGACTACAACTCAGGAGATTAAGAAAACAAAATTAATTCAGTGTTCTATAGAAAAATTTCTGTCTAATCAGTGTTGTTTGTACTATGTCAAAAAACTGTAGTATGTCAAGTAGCTATGTTTTTCTTCAGAACTACAGAAAACTAAGAAATGCAAATTCCTTAGTTAGGATAATATCTATATTCCATATTATTTCAAATTTCTAGCACACTGTTATAATCAAATTACTCATTTTATAAATACTTCATGACTGATCTTATAAAAGATCCTAAGATTTTACTCTATTTTTAACAATTATAAAACTAGTAACTACAATTTAAACTGTGTGCCTAGTGGTATTTGACATACATCTTTTAATATTGTCAGTAAAAGTAAGTGATGGGTACAGCTCTTTCTGGTATCTACTATAATTCCTTATTATCCACAGTTTTGCTTTTCATGGTTGCAGTTCCCCCCATCAGTTGTGTTAAAAAACTATTAAGTGGAAAATTCCATAAGCAAACAAGTCATAAATGTTAAATCATGTGCCATTTTGAGGAGCATGATGAAATCTCATGCATCCTGCTACAGCAATGGTGAGAGGCATCTCTGGGTCCATGTAGCCACACTGTACACGTTACCTACCCTTTAAGTCTCTCAGCAGCCCTTTTGCTTACCAAATTAACTGTCAAGGTATTGCAATACCCACGTCATTCACCTCACTCCAGTTGCATCTCATGTAGGCATTATCATTTCACATTATCACAAAAAGACTGAGTAAGGCATATTTTGAAAGAGAAAGACCACATTCATGTAACTTTTATTACACTATAATGTTACAATTATTAATCTTATCATTAGTTATTCTTGCTAATGTCTTATTATGCCCAATTTATAAATTAAATTTTATCACAGGTAGGTACACATAAGAAAAAATTATAGAGTCTGGTACTATCTGAGGTGTCAGGCATCCACTGGGGGGGGGTCTTAGAATGTATCTTCAGAGGGTAAGGGGATAGTACTATATACTGTACTACAGAAAAAAAAAGAGAAAATTTAATTATCCAACACAGAGAACAAAGACATATTCAGTAGATGTAAATTAAATTTTTATTAACCTCTTCTTTCAAAGTGCTTAAGTTATCTAAATCTCAGCTTGCCGAAGATAAGAAACATTTTAGCAATAAAGGTTAATCCAGAGAGATAAAGAGAAGTAAACACTAAATAACAGCTGAGCCCTAAATGAAAAACAGAAAGGCAGGAGTGGTAATCCCAGCAGTAGGGAAGTTGAAGCAGAAGGATCTCCAGTTCAAGGTCAGCCAGGGCTACTAGTGAGACTCTCCCTGTCTCAAAAACAAAACAAAACTAACAGAAGTCATAAAGGATTAAATAGCTCTAAATTGAAACTGCTTACAATTAATCTAAAAGAACAAAATAGCAATTTCATAAGAAACTAAGAATTCTAGGTATCTGGAATCTTTATGAATTGCTTTGATCTTCCTGTTATTTAATCATTAAAAAAATTTTAAAAATACAGAATTAGGGGATTTTAATTAACCAATGTAATATATGAAGTTCAGAAATAAACAAAATACAAGTAAGCTGCAGAAGTACATTGAAAATAACACTTGAAATATTTTGTCATATAAATTGAGCATCCTTTATCCAAAATGCTTGAGACCAGGGTGTTTTGGATTTCAGAGTGTTTTGAAATTTGGAGTATTTTCATGTATACAATCAGATGTCTTAGGGATGGGACCCAAGTCTAAACACAAAGTTCATTTATGTCTCACATGTGCCATTTATATACGTGTATGTGTGTGTGGGTCCACACACATACACACATATATATACATACATATGTACACACATATATGTGGTATATATCACTTGAAGGTTGTTTTACACAATAGTTTTAGTGAGCCTGCATTTTGACCATGACCTGCCGTCACATGAGGTCAGGGGCAGAATTTTTCACTTGTGGCATCAAGTGAGCACTCAAAAAATTTAGGATTTTGAATTTCAAATTCAAAGTTTTTGAAATTCAAAAACTTAATCTGTACTACAAAAATGCATCTTTACCACATCTTAATAAAAGATAAAAATAGTTTGCCATTCTGTATTTTGCCTGTTGAAAAAATATTAATTTATTTGTTTTATCTTTTAGACAGCCAGATAGTTGTAAAATCACATAAACAGAACTTCTCAGAACCCAATATTATAAGACTATCCAAGAAAAGAGGAAAGGGAGTGTGACAATCTTTCTTTATTAAATGTCAGCCAAAATAGGGGAATAGCTTTGGGATGTTCTACGTCATCTTACTTGGCCTCTTCAAAGCATTACAAATCACTTACTTCTTTTAGAAAATCATCTATCTATTGGCTTCCAAAATACCAGTTACCTCCCACCTGATTTTCCTCAAGCTCCATAGAGGGTTCTGCTCTTCACCTCTATTACACTCTAACTGCAAGTTACTTAGCTGATTGCTGACTGTTACTAAATCAAGTTGGTTCTAATTTGTAATTATTAAAAACAAACTAGAACACAGAATAAAACCACTATAAATAAAGCATCATGATAAGTACACTTAGAATTTTATCTTTCCCATATTCACGACTATACAAATCCTAAAAATGTGATTATTGTGTCAAAATTATACAAAACTTTATGTCCTATAGAAGATTTGTGCTTCTTAGGGCAGAGAAATGGCCCAAACAATGTATGCACATATGAATAAATGAATACAGAAAAAAAAAAGATTTGCTCTTTTTATACTAGGTAATAACATTTAAATCCCTGTCAATTTGACAAACAAAAAATGGTTTCTTATTTTCTTTTCTTAGAGTATCTGTGAAATTCAGTGTTTTTTCATTTATTGGTCATTTATACTTTTAGGTGAATTACTCTGTTTATATCATTTATTATGCTTTTGTTTTGGGATTAACTTTTAATTTTATTCTTAAGACTTCTTAAAAATTGAGGTTTGTTATTATCCTGTTTCATATGTGCTGTAGATAGAATTCTAGATGGCTCTATGACCTTTACCTCTAGTGTTACTTCTTTGATTTTGTTGTGTTATACAGCAAAAGGGATTTTGCCACTGTAAGTTTACTAATTAGTTGACCTTAAGATACAGAGATTTTCTGGGTGAGTCTAATCTTATCACATGAGCCCTTAAGAGTGTTTTCTCTGGCTTGTGGCAGAAGGGAAAGTTTGATTTAAACCACAAAAAGGACTTGGTCTACTGTTGCTAGCTTTCAAGATGGAGGGGCCAAGTATAAGGAACAAAGCAGTCACTATGAGGTAAGAATGATCTCTGGCTGACAGCCAGCAAGGAAACTAGCACCTTGGTCCTACAACTTTAAGAGACTAAATTCTGCCAACAACCTGAATGAGCTTGGAAGCTGATTCTTCCCCAGAGACTCCAAAGCTTGACTTTGAACATGCTTGAGCCTAAAGAGCAAATCAGGTGGAATTCACCCAAACCTCTAATAAATGGGTGTTAATTTGGTTGTGACTGAGATAATGGTAGGCAGCAACAGAAAACAAATACAATTTGTTAACTTTTTTTTGTTCACTCTCTTCAAGACATTTTGTGAGTCAAGTGATCATATCTACTTATGTATTTACTTATTTTTTTGGTGGCACTGAGTTTTAAACTCAGGCTTTTGCATTTGCTCCACAGGCACTGTACTGCTTGAGCCAGGCCTCCAGCCCAAGTGATCTTATTATATATGTCTTTTCAAACTTATTTATAAGATTATAAAATTTTATATATTAAATGTTAAGGATTTCAAATTTACACTAAAATAATTTTTTTCATAAAAATGGACTTAAGTATAAAGATGAGAATTAAGGCCATTACAGTGAAATGAAACATTTAATTTTCTTATGAATCAGTAAAAGTTGACTTGACTTGAATAATGAATAAGAAAGAAAAGTTACAAATATAATAAAAGTAGAACAGGTAAGTAACTCACAACTAAAAAGGCAGTTTGGGATTTTATTAAAGTACTTACTTTGTCATTAAGCCTAGAGAAGTCAGTGTATCTTCTGAAAACTACCCAGCTTTCTTCTGGGGTTTTCTTTACTAATATTTTATATACCTGGGGAGGGGGGAAAGAAAGTATTCAAACCAAATATTTAAAAACATTTACATGATAACCCAAACCATAATTATTGCACAAAAAATTATAGAAATCATTCAGATCATTAAATGTACAGAAAAATCAGTGAATTTTTAAAGAAATATAAAAAAATTGAGATGAATGATTTCTTCATACATACTAATAACAACTAATCAACTTCCAAAATATTTCATGCCAACATATTCTAAAATTGGTAAGTCATCATGTCTGAACTATAAAAAATAGCCATTTTTATCCTATGCAGATAATTTAATTTTTAAACTTAATATCTATTAAGGTAAATTTTCAAATAAGTTCAATACTATCTTAGTCCTTGACGTTGAAATATAAGCATGCAATACTTAAAAAAAAATTACCCATGGAAGTTTACCTTTCTGTAATTACATACAATAGTCGAGGCTATCAAGCAGAAAGATTTGGTTGAAGCAAGTCAACATTTTAAAAAAGAACATTAGAAAAACATAGATCCCATTTTCTGAAAGTATAAGTTTAGAATTTATTATGAGGAACTCTTACTTAGCACAGAATCTCAACAGAAACATCTGCTAGTAGTTTTTGGTACAGGATTCTGTGTTAAATAACATGAACTACTCTGTATCTGTTGAATAAGTGAAACTTAATAAAACTAACTTCTTTTCCTTTAGTTTTCTGTACAATTATTTTCAACTGTAGCTCTAGAGCTGTGCTTTGCCACAGGTAGCTACTGAGCACTCAAAATGTGACTAGTCAAAATGACATATACTGTGAGGGTAACATATGCACTGGATTTCAAACACAGATTTTTATTAAAATCATTCACATTGATTACATATTGAGATGTTTTAGACATATTAAATTGAGTAAAATATCATGTTAAAAATTATAAATGTGACTCAGCTTGGCATAGTGCCACATGCCTGTATCCCAGTTACTTGGGAGGTGGAGGTAGAAGACCAAAGTCTGAATCTGGCCTGGCAAAAGTGCCAGACCCTATCTGAAAATCACACTAAAAGCAAAGGCACAGGGGTGGGTGGTGGGTGGTGGTGGATGGGTGTGGCTCTAAGAGTGCTGGTAAAGCAAGTGCATGAAAAAAATAATTACAAATGTGATTCACATTTCAGATTCAGCATTTAGACAGTGCTGCTCTAGAGATAAGTCTCTCATATACATTGTCTTTTCAGCTTTTTAGTGGGAGACTCAGCAAGGATTAAGAATCTTTTCTCTTTGAAGTAAAAAACATTTATCTTCATAACATATATGGACAGAGAACATGACTTGAACTCCTTTTAAAGACTGCAGAAAGTTCTGATATAAGAAAGTAACCACAGGGCTATAAAAACAGCTTTTTTTCTTTAAGGAGTTGTTAAAACAAAACAAACTGATTCAAAACTTTTGTGTATGAATGTCTCATGAATGATAAAATTCAATGTCACATAAGTAGGCTTGCCTACGAACAATCTATATTGACTTTATTTTCTTATTTAAGAAAATACCTCTCCACCTAGCTCCTCTCCACTGTGGTTCCTGAACCCTCCTATTTCTCTAAGAAAGATAAAGTACAGACCTTTGTGTTTTATCTTTTCTATGAAGCTCTCCTTCTACCTTTATATTTGGTAAAGTAATGTTTCCAATGAAATCTTTATATGTAGTACTAAATCAGTCTATGTTCTAATAGTAGTTATGTTAACTATTTATTTGAAGCTTAACAGATATTACTTTATGCTATCTTTTTAATGTAGTACTTATTTGGATTTTTAAGTGAATTATAAGATACATAGAAACATACATTGAATTGTAAAATATATACAGAAAAGTACACAAATCATAAGCATACAACTTAATAAATTTTCATTTATAAAGTGAACACACATAGGTAACTAGTACCAAGAGCAAGAAACAAAAAATTATCCATTGAAGCCCTCATGCTCCTTCCCAATCCTAATGACAGTCCATCCTAGTCACTCTTTGTTTTTAAATACTCTTCCTAAAGACTTGACATTTTATATATTACCAGATCTTAACAGTCAGTCCCAGTACTTTCTTCAGTTAAAGGACCAATTCAAAGGTTGAGAGATCAGAGGAACAAAGGATCAAAGGTACAAAGACATCAAAGGAACACTGATCTAGGAGAAAATTATTTTGCAAATCTAAGGCTCTCAAACTTTTATCTCTAGCTCAGGCCTTTCCCCTAAACACACTGAACAGACATACACAACATATATGCATGTATGTAGGCACATATACACACACGGGACATCTCCACTTTGATATCTATTAGACATCTCATGTCCAAAACCAAATCCTGATCTCCTCAAAATCTGCCCTCTAGCTAAATGACAACTTTATTCTTCTCATTGTTTAGGCCAGGAACTGTGAGGTTAACTTTGACTTCTTTATCCCACATTCTACTTCCACACTGCCATGAAATACTGTTGGCACTACCTTCAAAACTATCCAGAATCCAATGACTTCTTAAGACCTCTAGCATCCTATCTATTCCACCATCATGCCTCCCTTGGATTATTACAAGAACCTAACTGCTTCCTGCTTTCACTCAAAATTTCCCCATACAAGCTAGCCTCAATTCAGCTGCCAGAATGAGCCTTTGAAGACATTAAGTCAGATTAAAATGATTCTTTAAAAAAGAAAAACAAAAAAAGTTTACAAAGATTCCCATGTGATATGGAGTAAAATGCAAAGTTTTTATGATGGTCTAACATGCTATGAATGATCTGTGTGCCACGACACTACCTTTACCTGCTATCTCATTTCATATACCTCTCCACCTTGCTTATTCTGCTGTCAGCCACAAGGGACTTTGTAGCTGTCTCATATGTGTGGAAAGCTCTTTCCCCAGATAATCTCATGGCAGTGCTCTGTTAGTATTAATATTTTCTTTCCTGTGAGGCCAAGATTGAGAACACTGTTTAAATCCCAACATCAGTTTTGAAGAAATGCCCTCCCTCTTACTTCTCTAAAGCACTTATCAGCATGTAACATACTAGCAGTGTATTACTCATCACCTATTCATTCATTCAAGTTGCTATACCACTATTACCAGGAATGGTGCCTGGCACAAAACAGGTAATAAAAAATGCCGAGTTATGTGAGTTATATGATTAATTTCACTTCATCCTTTATAACTTCTCTAATACCATAGAGGAAGATGATTGGCACTTCCTCTACAGTGTCACAAAAGACTTTATATTTATATTGCACTGCCTTAAATTTGGCTAAAACTTGTCTCTTCTCACATATCACCTGTCTTAGTCCATTTAGGTTATAAAATATCATAAATGGGACAGCTTACAAATAATGAAAATTATTTTTTTCATAATTTCAGGGGCTGGGAAGTCTAGGATCAAGATGTTAACAGATGTGGTGTCTGGTGAGGGTCCACATTTTGGTTTATAGATGGTGGCCTGTAGTTGTGTCTTGGGATACACACAGAGGCCACACAAGGAAGCTCTCTGGACCTCTTTTATAAGGGTACTAATTCTATTCATGAGGGTTCTGTCCCCATGACCTTATCACCTCCCAAAGGCCCCACCTCTTACTGCTATCATCTTGGATTTTAAGAATTAGGGGGTGGGGTTGGAGCACATAAATATTCACACCACAGCATTACTTCAGTAAGTCCTCACTCTTTCAAAGCAACGTCAAAGTAAGGTAATAAGCCATCAAATTATAAAACTGTTCTCAAAGGCAGTTCCACCAATAAGTCTTATAATAATTTTAAAAGACTATTCTTCATGAATTATGCCAACGCTTTTCCTTGGAGGCCCTCCCATCCTGGAATAATCCTACAGCATGAAACACTAAAGTAAATATAAAAACTGTACTGCAAGAAAAAAATATCTCTTTGAACTAATGGGAGTTTGGTAAAGGTTGACAGATACATACACATACCCAAGTAAACATACATAACCATACAAGGTTAAAATATAGATTAGTAATGAACAAATAGAAAGCAAAAAATATATTTACTAGCCAGACATGGTGGTTTAAACCTGTAATCCTAGCTACTGGGGAGGACTCCAGTTTGAGGCCTTCTAGGCAAAAAGTCAGTAAAGACTACATCTCAACCAATGGCTAGGTGTGTGACACATGCCTGTCATCCCAGCTAGGTGGGAAACACAAATAAATAGAAGGACTGTGCTCCAGGCCAGCCTGAGAAAAAAAGTGAGGAGAGACAGAGGGAGGAGGAAAAAAAATAATAACCAAAACAAAAACGCCTGGCGGAGTGGCTCAAGTTGTAGAGCACCTGCCTAGCAAGTGTGAGGCCCTGAGTTCAACCTAGTATTGCAAAAAAAAAAAAAACCCGCAAAAAACCAAAGGAAAAAAAAAAAACCCAAGCAAACAAAATACCCATATCAAGTAACATCCATATCCAGAAATAAATCCAATCAACAGAGGAAAAACCATTGCACCTGCATTGACAACTAGTTAGAAGAAATTAAAAGACTTAAGTAAACGGGTTAGGGTTATACATTTGAAGACAGTATTGTAAAGATGTCAGTTCTCGCCAGACTAATTTATAGATTTGACAAAATCTTAATGCAATGGCCAACAATAGCCAAGTAAAACCTGAAGAACAACAAAGCTAAAGTACTTAAAACTATTGTGTATCAAGACCTATGATAAAACAATTAGTTAAGATTGTGAAATTGGTAAAGGGTAGAAAAACAGAACAGAATAGACTCATCCACTTATGGTCATATGATTTATGCCATAAACAACACTGCAAATACAGAGGAATACAGTAGTCTTTCTAATAAAATTGTGACATTTGATCTTACAAAGAAAAATTAAACAGGGTGACCCTTAATTCACTACGGACAAAAATCAGTTCTGGATGATTTGTAGATCTAAATGTGAAAAGCCTAACAAAAGAAGTTTTTAGAAGCAAACATAGAATGACAACTTTAGTTTTTTTTGGGCAGTACTGGGGTTTGAACTCAAGACATCACGCTTGCTAGGCAGGTGCTCTACCACTTGAGTCACTCTGCCAGCCCTGGGATAACATCGAAAGCAAAGATTTGAAAACATGCTAGTCAGAGCTGGGCATGATGATACATGCTTGTAGTCCCAGTACTTTATATACTCAGGCTATCCTGATAGAGCAAGACCCTGTATCAAAAAACCAACCAAACAAAAAAAACGAAAAACAAAAAAGTGCTAGCCATAAAAGAAAATGTTAATAAATTGGAATGCATTAAAATTAATTATTTTTGTTTATCAAATGCATTATTAAGGAAGTGAAAAGGCAAAACAGAGAGGATAGTCACAATATGTATATCTATAAAAGGACTTATGTCCAGAATGCATAGAAAATGATAAATTAAAATGAAGACCTCTTGAAAGAAAAATGAAAAATCTTGAATATTTTTCAAGAGAGTGTCAAAAAGACTAAAAAACATTTAAAAATTCTTTAATTAGTTATTAAGAAACTCCCAAACCATAATGTGATATTCTATACAAACTAGAATACACAAAATGGAAAATACCACACGTTGTGAAATCACATACACAGCAGAGTATAAACTAGTACAACCACTATGGAACATTGTTCATCAGTATTTTCTAAAGCTGGGTTGGTGAACCAGCAATTTCACTCCTAGAGTACACATCAAACAGAAATGTATACATGTGTTTATCAAATGTTAAGTTCTAGAATGTTGATAGCAGTGGTGTTTGAAAGAACCTCAAAAAAATAGTGTTACATTCGCATAATAGAGTGCTACAGTAATAAAAATGAGCTATCTACAATTCATGCAAGATCAAGAATAACTTACAAACATAATGCTGAAGGAAAGAGACCAGACCCAAAGAGTATATACTCAACAGTTCCATTTATATAAAATACAAAAGTAGGAAAAGTTAATCTAGGCTAACAGAAAAGTATTAGATGAGTGACTACAGAGTGGCAGAGCACGGGAGCTTTTAAGACACTAATATTGTTCTGTTTCTTGATCTATGTGCTAGTTACAGAGGTGTGTCTGATTTGTAAAAATTCACTAAGATAAAACAAAAGTTTACAATAGCATTATAGAATTTAGTGTTATAAAACCATAGAATTTAATGTTCAAGAAATTATAAGCACGGGATACATTATTATAGAACATTAGTCAACACTTACAGTGAATTTGGCTCTTTCTTCCATCACCTCATAACCCAGTATAGTAGGTGTAGAAGGTCTATCTTCCCAATTCACTGTTTCAGGATTTTGTTCTTCAGTTTCTCTTGGTCTAGTAGAATACTCGATGGATGAATCTGTACCTGTAAATTTAGTCCTAATGAGAGGACTGCTACAGACAGATGAAGTACTATCCATCTGATCAGGAACACTTGTCTGTCTCAAATGACTCATATTTGAGTCTTCTAACTGGCCTTTGGAAGAGTTTGAGCTTGTTGAGACACTGCCAAAAGAAGAACTCCTCTGATTTCTGCTGGTTGTAAAACTGGAAGCAGAGTTTCCTATTGACATAGGAACTGGGACATAAGGAGTTGCCATCTTCTTTGGCCTTTGTGACACACACTTGTACACTGCTGAATCCAAACAGTTAGAGAGCAACTAATATGCAATTCATTGTTTTCTTCTTAGGAATTCACTATCTAAAAACAAGAAGGAAATATGAAATTAGTCTTCAATTTAGAGCATAATCCAAAAGAAAAGAAAATGTTCTTTTTAATTTGTGAGACTCCATTACTTGAATGAAAACATCTCACTTCCTTTACTCTCAATCTCTAAGGACACTTGTTTGCAAGGTGAAGAGAACAAAACTACTCCACACCCCTTTTCTTGACCCTCATGTTACATTCTTCTTCTTTTTTTAAAACCACTCTATTTCCTTAAGAAGGATTTCTGCAATGTTCATTTTAACCTAACTTGGTCCCAAGCACCACAAACGAAAAAAAAAAAAGAAAGAAAAGAAAAGTTATCGATACAGCTCAGGGATAAAGTCTTGCCTATCATGCATGAGACCTGGGTTCCAGCACCAGCGCAAGAAGAATGAAGAAGGTGGAAAAGGAAGAAGGAAGAAAGGAGGAGGAGGTACCTCCTGAAGCTTTATTCTAGGAAGAAAAGTAACATTTTGTAAAATTCAGGGTCAAATATATTTAAAAATAAACTCGATCAAATTAATGAATTACAACCTAATGAATATTAAACTTATATTCAATAATATTAAGTAATAAGTTTGTTTCATACTTTTCATTAATAATTCTGCTTTGTATTAAACAGAATTCTTAGCAAATCTTTGTAATTCACATTCAATCATCTCTGCTATCAAAAAGACTAGTGTAACTACAAACCAACAAAATGACAAGTCGACACACAGCAAAAGGATCTACCCGCCCAACTTCACCTGCGCAACTCTACTGGTGAGAAAAATAGGAAACGAGTCGCCTGGACTTGGAAAGACGCTGAAACAGGATTTTTAACCGAGCACGTGTCTCTGGGTAACCTTCCCTGTTACCAAAGACTCAAGAAACTCGAGCTGCTGATTCACTGCTCCTAGGTTCCTCCCGATGGCCTCCCCTCAAAAGACGTAAATTAAAAAGCGTGAAACTTCTCCATGCCTGTGGCACCGCCAGGCCCTCCGCCACTCCACTCCACTCCACGAGGCCACCAGCTGGGGAAGGTGGCACACCAAGGAACACTAACGTCCTCAGGAGTGAACGCTGCCGGGACGTCAGGACGCACGGTGCTCATTAGGAGCGTCCTTGCAGGGAGGTGCTCCAGGTAGGATCCCACCTAGGCAGATAAGGCTGTCAAGATTTTGAGCAAGTAAGCCGGGGGACGGCGGGAAGAAAGTGGAGGAACCTGGCACAGATGGACCCTTGGAGGGCATGGCGGGGTCAACGCGGGCCACGGTCCTGGGCTCTGAGGGCGGCCAGACCTGCAGCAACCGGGGCCCGAGATCCTCCGTCTCCGCCGCCCGGACGTCCCTGGGAGTCGGAGGTGGCCTGACCGGGCTGGGGGTGGGGTTGGTCGTCTCTCCGCAGCGCTTCTCCACCCTCCCGCCAGCCTTCGGGAGTGCAGGTGTCACCCGCCCAGCAGCCCGGGACAGCGCCCGCCTCCCCGTCCCTACCTCAGCGCACTCCGTGGTCCTACTCAAGTACGCTTCCCCGCGACAGGTAAGCCGGACTCTACTCAGCAGCCCCGGGATACCGCTTATGAGCCTCCGTCAGGAAAGTCGCTGCTCCCTATCTCCCCTCGTCTCTGTCCCGCCACCCGGCCCGGCTCCCGGGCAGCAGGAGAGAAGGGGAGGCCAGGACGCCGCTCCCGGAAGTGACGTCACGCCAGGACGCGCGTCCCCAAGGCGCAGGTTGGAGTGTCCGGCCCCCGGCGGTCTAGTAGCCGGGTTAAATCTAATCCTGTGGCAGGAGATCAACATCCTCGGCACTCAATTTGTTTTTCAGAAGTGAACTTCCGAGAAGTGGGGCTTGGATATCTAGTTTGTCAAGCAGGGGACTAGAAGACTTCAATTCCCAGGAGGAATTATGAGCAACATTGGCCCGAGTTCCTGCTTTGCATCATGGGACTTGTAGTTTTTGCCTGCTGGGCTGCTTTCTAATAGGTTATAGATTATTTTCCAGAATTAGCAGCGCTGTAAGGGCTGGGAATTGATTTATAGAGTGGGCAGATAGAACACCACACTACCATCCGTTTTACCTAAGTCACAAGTCCTGTTGGTAGAGAGTCCTGAAATTCTTTTTTTAAAATTCTACCTGGGGACCAAATTTATCCCAAATAATACAATATTAGGCTGGCTAGACTTGCTTATAGGAAAACTTCTTAAAAAAAAAAAACAACACTTTTTTTTTGTGATACTGGGCTTCAGCTTGCCACTACCGAATGAGCCACAACTCAGTCCTTTTTGTTCTGCTTATTTTGGAGATAGGGTCAAATTTCTTCCCAGATGGGCCTGGACCAAGATCCTCCTATTTTAAGCTCACCTCCATCAGTGGGGTGACAGGCCTGCACTCAGCCATTGGTTTAGATAGGAGGTCTCCTGAACATTTTTCCCAGATTGGCCTAAAACAGCTATCCTGATCTCAGCTTCCCAAGTAGCTAGGATTAGAGGTCTGAGTCACTTGTGCCTGGCAGGAGCGCCAAGACTCAGATCAGTGTCCAGGGCTGTTTATTATTAGAATTACACAATTTAATTTAAAGATCATTCTATGATTTCTGGGACTTTGGAGCAGTCCCAAGAGTGGGAAAGTGGTAGTGGTAATTTCAAAATGAAGATAATCTGATTTGTGATATAATAATGGTTTTCATTTGAGAAATATTATCTTTTCAGTGTGAATTAAACATAAAAATAGAATTAGAGGACTGAAACATATTTTCAGGCAGTCTTGGCCTAAGTTATGCCAGTGAATAAGTGTAAGAGAAAAGCGAAAAAGCAAAGTAAAATGAGCCTTGGGATATTTTCCTCAATTATGGACAGAGTTGTAGGTGGTAGCAAAAGAGACTTGTGATGAGGAAAACCTGACAGTCCAATATCTGATAAACTGAGGAAAATAAAATTTTCAAGAAGAGTGTACAGATACCACTGTTAGAAGCAGGATAAAGATCTAGAAAAGTTCATGGAAGTCATCCAAGAACTTCCTTCACAGATTATTAAGCAGAACCTCAGAGAATGTACATACTACATGTTTTCTGGTACTGATAAGTGTCCAGATTTTTTCAGAAATGGTTAAGCAGATTCAGATTCAATAATCAAGAAGGAATATTTTTGGGTGGGTGGCCAATGTACAAGTTATTACATTATCATAGACCATATCTGTTTGTGTGTCTCTATTTATGGGATATTTTTTAGTTCAGCTCCTGATGCCTCTATAAAATGCACACAATCAAATTGTGTGCACTTTATCTTGTAGGATAGCATAAAGTATTTTTATGTACCTTTCATTATTTTAATTTTATATGTTATATATCTTTTTTGTGGTACTGGGATTTGAATTCAAGGCCTCATACCTTTTAGGTAGGCACTCTACCATTTGAGCCATGTTACATGTTATATATCCTTTACAGGATATTTTAAGTTTACCCAAGATATAATTTTACTCCATCATATATAGATACTGCAAATTAGAGTTGGTGGGTGGGGGAAAGAAGAAGTAAAAACCACAGCAGAAAAAGACATATGCAACGGGTAGGCATCTTTTGAAGTGGCTTTTTAGATCCAAAGACTTCTCCCTTCTTAGGAATTGGTCTGTCTTCTCTATTAGGGTGGGCCATATTTATAGCATATCACTCTTGTAACACTTTTTTTTATCACAGTTGGCTGTGCCCAAGTAGAATAGTTGACCTAAGTTGTGCCCTACACATGCTTTCCTAGGAGTTAAAAATTTTGGGATAGTGTTGAGGAAAGATACAGGTGGAAAGTCAAGGAGCTAAGGACAAAACACAGAAAATTCTGTGGTGAGAGGTCCCATAAAATTCCACTGCTAAGTTCTCTGGAATTGATTGGCTCCCTCCCCTTTCTTGAACTTCCCCTGGACTCTATGAGATCACTTAATATTCTTTCAGTATATTCACTTTTTACTTACATCTAGCCAGAAATAATTTGCTTAAAACTAAAAGTACGAGTGATACAGCAATTTGAAATAAGACAAACTAAAAATGTGTCATAGATGCTGATAAACTGCCTTACTATTTTTTCAAATAGCTGTCAATAATTCATAGTTTAAGATTTTAAAAGAGTGTGATATTTTATAATTTTCACATGTTAATGAAGAAACATATAACATGAAGAAATAATTGCTTAATAACTTATAGCTAAAGTAACAGAAAAATTACTCCATCAATTATTTTGGCTTAATATCATAGATTCCCAGAAGTATGCATGTTGTTTTCCATAAGCAATATTTAATCTTAATATTTAGGATCTGTACTCTGTCTGCCCTTATTTTTCTCACTGTTACGAAGTGTGAGCCCAGAGAACAAACCACAAATAGTCTACTTACAGAGTAACAGGAGGTGACCAAAGTAGTAATGTGGCAACATGGCAGCTGAATTTATCCTAATCTGAGAAATAGCCAGAGGAGACACTATGTGATATTTATAATATCAGAGATGACAACCATAATTAATTAGTGATCTTTCACTCACCGTATTATGTAAGGAGAGTTGTGACAGCGTGTGTGGAAATCCTGTGAACTTAACCGAGTGATCAAAGTCTTCCTCAAAATCATAGAGTCATAACTTTAGAATGAGAAGAAACAATTATCGTAAGGATGAGCCTCCATTTTATAACCAAGAGTAACTGACGAAAGTGGTAGATGGAATATTTTCTAGAGGTCATGAAGGTTGTTAATCCTTGCTCCAAAACTAGCAACCTTCTCAGTATACACAGTATGGCACATTTTTGTGAGCACAATGATAGTCTGTCATGTCCTATGTGTCTTTCAACTTTTCGATATGTTTAGCCTCTGGTACATTCTCAATTAGCATTTGATGCCTGGTTAATCTTCATGGATTTTTATGTGTAGAACATCTGCACTGGGCTTTTAGGTGGTGGTAGGAATTGGATAAGTAAAGGAGGGAGGCTGAGACCTCCAGACAGTGAAAGGCTTGGAAAAGGATATATCGAAGTGTGGAATGGACAGGTAGGAGACAGCCTGGATGGACTGAAAGGCGTATGTTATGGTATAGCTGGAAATAGAGAGATGAGCTTCTTCTTATCCTTAGTCTATCTTAAATATAATCCCATCAGTAATACCTTCCAGATTATCCAAGATGGAATTAAATATGATCCTATTGTATTTGGTTCATGAATGAAGGCAATCATCACTTAATATTCTGTATACTTATTTATGTGTGGCCCAAGGGTCATTTGTTAGTATATGCCTTATTTGATACCTGAATTAGATATAGTCACCATAATTTCTATTGTTTTACATCTGTCCTCCTTTGCTTACATTTCCTACAAACTCCTTGCTGATATTTGCATTTCACCTCCTAAAGAAAGCTAGGCACTTGTGGCTCATGCCTATAATCCAGGCTACCTCAGGATTCAGAGGTCAGGAGGATCGAGCCAGCATGGGCAAATCGTTCTCGAGACTCTATCTTGAAAATACCCAAAAAGGGCTGGTGAAGAGGCTCAAGGTGTATGTACTGAGTTCAAACTCTAGTACTACAAAACAAAAGAAAGAAAAGAAACTCCATACTTTGAGTGGGCCTATTAACTCCTTCATGAATTGTCTTATGTTTATTCCAGAATAATTATTTAATCAATTAATCAGCTATTATTGAGGCTCTGCCGTATGCAATGAACCTCAAAGTCCAGCTGTAACAATTATTTCCCATTCTGAGCTATTTTTTCTTTCTACTGCTTGCTAATGTTTTTGCCAGTAATTCTACTTGCTTCACCCTTCTTAAGAGGCTCAGCTCTAAGTCATTTCCTCTCCAATCCTTGTCCCAATCCCTCCAACAAGTACCATACTAACCTTCTCAAACCTCTGCTATAGATTATTTTTTTTATGTCTGCCTCCCTGACTAGAACATGAGCTCCTTCAAGCAGAGCCAGTGTCTTTTTCTTCTCTGCTGGCTGGCAGAACCTTCGGCACACAGTGGAAACAAACTGAATAAATAACTGAATAAAAATGAGTGAATAAAATTTTCTTATTAGATTGACTTGGTGGTTTAATATAAACACACACACATTCTCAGTGGAATTTTGTTTTGAAGAAGCATTACATAGAGACTCTATAAAACAAAAGTGAAACAGCTGTAGTTAGAAATAAAGAATTTCTTTAATTGCTGAGAGTAATTTGTAACTGCTGAAGTAGATAAATGATTTCTAAGGTCCACTTAAGATGGAACACTTTATATCTATTACTTGAAATCTGAAGCAAATAGGAAAACAAATGCCATAGTCTATTTAGCAGCACTAAGAGTCATAAAAGGCATATACAGAGAAAAATTAAAATGAAAACAAAAAGAAACTTGGCTCCTGAAATGAAATAGACCACTGAATCAGGCATTATTGTTTAAGTTTTTATCTTAAGTTTGAGATATACTTAACTCCTGGCATATGGGTGGTTAATGAAATATGTTATCTGAGTTCCTGATGACAGGGTTTTCAATATTTCAGTTTATAAGAGATCCTTCCAAAAATGAAATGAATTTTCCATGTAAAAGCCAGAGCCCAGGAAGGGCAGTCAGTCTCTAATCTGT